CCCCCCCCCCCCACCCTCCCTTCCGGTGGCCCGGGAGCATTTGAATGTCTGTGGCCTCAGGCCACTTCCGAGTTGGGTGAGCCGGCGCCTTGATGGTCTCTAGTTTGCACAGGTTAAAAATGCACTTTTAAAGACAGTGCTGAGAGCCGGGCGTTGGTGGCGCACGCCTTTAATCCCAGCACTCGGGAGGCAGAGGCAGGCGGATCTCTGTGAGTTCGAGGCCAGCCTGGTCTACAAGAGCTAGTTCCAGGACAGCCTCCAAAGCCACAGAGAAACCCTGTCTCAAAAAAACAAAAAACAAACAAACAAACAAACAAACAAAAAGACTGTGCTGAGAAAATGCTTCAAAAGAGCCATAACTTGCATATCCGCGATCGCGCGCTTGCCCCACACTGTAGATGACTTTGTAACTGAGCCCAAGGATGAGGTAGTGGAACCCCAATTTGCTGGTTGGTCACAAGTACAACTGAAACAACCCGAGGCTTTGTATGTGCAGCTAAAGAGACTGTGCCTCTAGCTGCATGATTGGAATTAGTGGCTGCTCTCTCCCACCACAGTAATGGTTGCTTGGTTGGTGTGGGACAAATACACATACACAAACACACTCCTCTTGGCTAGAAAGTGATTTGTGTTGTGAATATAAGTGGGAGAAACTGGATTTTCCTTGGTTGAGATGCTAAGTCAAAAGGAAATTCCCTTACGCAGGGGACAATATGACAACAGATGAAAACGTCACTCCCTCATAGAAAAAAAAAATCTCTCAGCTTAAGGCAGGGTCTGTTAACACCCCTTTGAGCCCCTCACAGGCAGGACTCAGGATTGAGTCCTTTCACTGGTACTTTGGGGGCAGGGGGGTATGAAGGGACCAACCCTGTTTTGACAGCCATGACAGTCTAACACATGCTTGCCTGACCTTGCCTTGGTCAAATGCCCCCCTCATGGCAAGGAACCAATCAAAAGTTAGCTAGTGGGGCTATGCTTTATGGCTCTGGATGTGGTTTACAAACAAGTGCACAGCAATGGCATATAGAGCATAGCAACTGCCCTGGGAGGGCCTATGGGCTATAACAGCCAGTTGACCCACACAAGGCAGGTCCTCCAAGCCTGGAGGTGCACCAATCCTGAGCCTGTTCGTACCCCTACACACTCCCCTTCTGCTGCCCTATAATGTAAGACCCTCGAAAAGCTGAGGCTTCCGAATCTTAGCCCAGGATCTCGGCCACCCCAATCACAGAATGGAGGCGAAAGCTTGATGCAAATTGCATGAGGCTTTATTGTAATTTAACGTTAGCTCGGGTCTTTGACCCACCCACCATGGCGGATGGCTAGCAAAGACAGTTTGAAGCCGCTGCGCTCAGATCTCTATAGGGCAGCGTAAGGGGAGTGTCTAGGGTCCGCACAGGCTCAGGATTGGTGTGCCTCCAGGCTTGGAGGGCTTGCCCTGTGTTGATTGGTCAACTGGTTGTTATGGCCCATAGGCCCTCCCAGGGTGGTTACTATGCTCTCTATGTCATTGCTGTGCTCTTGTCCATAAAGCACACCCAGAGTCATAAAGCATAGCACCACCAGCTAACTTCTGATTGGTTCCTTGTCACGAGGCAGGCATCTGACTTTCTAGTGTCTAGGACAAGGTCATAGAAGCACATGTTCGGCCATTATGGCTGCCAAAAGGGAAGCTGGTCCCGCCAATAAGATCTCTGTCCCGTGGTTTCTCCTGGTCTTTCCCCAGCCATCCACTGTGGTGGATGGATGAAAGGCCCTAGCTAATGGGGTTAGCTCATTAAACAACTGCAATAAAAGCCTCATGGCTTTTGCATCAAAATGGGCCTCTTGGTAATTTTGGAGTTCAGAATTTGGGCACAACACTCTCACTTGATAAAGTGATTTAAATGCCTCCAGAATACCAAATGTTCCCTCAGAAGGACAATCATCCCCAGATGGAGCCACTGGTTCACTTTCTAAAGGGGCTTCTGAGATGGAAATACTCAGACATTGCCCAGAACTAACTGCTGTCCACATCTGGTGTTTGAGATCTTGTAGTGTGATAGTAGAAATAATAATTTCAAATTTTACTTAAATTTGAGTCAAGTTTTAATATCCACCTGTGGCTAGTAGCTACTGAGCAACTGTAGAAATTTGTAGGCTATTCTGTAGACTTGTGTCATTTATCTTTAACTTCTGACTTCAATTCTTTTTATTTTCTAAATCCATTCATACAGATAAGTCACCAGGGTTTCCTTATGATTGCTTCTTTGGACTTGTATTCCAGTTCTCTCCTTCAAAGCCTTCGTTCTCACTATTTTATCTGAGATGGTCTTCCCTTCAGACATCTCAACTGCTCATTTTTCCTATTGTTTATTCAGGTGTCTCCTTCAAAATATTACCAGAGAGGCCTCACTACCTTAGCCTACTCAGAGTCGCCATCAACATCCCACGTATGTTTCCCACCCATTTCATTCTCCAGAGTGTTGAGATAATTATTGTTGATTGCTCTCATTCCACTCCCATCCCATTATAAAGTGAGTTTTGTGAGGCAAGCAATTTTTGTTTTATTACCTTTACAAAGCCTGACACGTAGTAGATATTCTATTTTTTAAATGACTTTTTTAATAAATAAATAAGTTGTGAAGGGTGGTGGGTTTTAAACAGAGGGATGAAATGATCCAACTTGTTTCGAACAGGATCCCTTTGAATAGTGGCATGAAGTAGAATGAAGGACAGGGGGCTGGAGAGGTGGCTCAGAGGTTAAGAGCACTGGCTGATCTTCCAGAGGTCCTGAGTTCAATTCCCAGCAACCACATGGTGGCTCAACAACCATCCATAATGAGATATGATGTAGTCTTCTGGCCTGCCATTATACATACAGGCAGAACACTGTATACATAATAAATAAATAAATGGTAAAAACAACAGCAACAACAAGCATAGACTGAAGGAAAGTGAAGAGGAAAGAGAGACCAATTGGGAGGCTATGTTGGGGGATGTAGTTCTGTATTCTGTGAATATATATTTATCTTGTTAATTGATGAATAAATGCTGACTGGCCAGTAGCTAGGCAGGAAGTATAGGTGGAGCTACCAGACTAAGAGAATGGTGGGGAGAGGAAGGAGAGAGAAGCTGCCAGTGGGAGACCATGTAGCC